TGGGTGCCACATGGTTTGGTGGTCCATGGCTTCCCCCGCCCTCATCTTCCCCTCCCCCCGACAAGTCTAGTTTAAAGCCCGCCGGAGGAGATCTGCCAACCTAGAAGAGAACACACACTTACCTTTGGGGGACAGGTGAAGCCCATCCCAGCTGAGCATGTCCCTCGTTGTGATGTGCGGGTCATTGTCAAGGAAGCCGAAGCCTGCCTCGAGACACCATTGCCGAAGCCGCCAGTTGGTCTCTCTAATGCAGTTCTTGTGCCGTCTTCCGCGTCCGCTCATTGGTAGGATAGAAGGGAATACCACCTGTGCACCTATCTCCCTCAGCACGCTGCCCAGAGAGCTACATATATTTTGTGTAGGATATTTCCAGTCCTTTTCTGTGTAATAGAAAGGTCCAAAAAGGCTGCAGTGGTACAATCATGTCCCCCTTCTGCTGCTACTGTTACTGTTCCCAGCTGACACAGGCACAGGGGGTGCCCCATATCTGCTCCTGACTGATTCTAGCCATGGGCTTCAGGGAACAGCTGTGTAGGCTGCCACAACTGGAAACAGTGGCAGCAGTGGGTAAGTTTCCTCTTCCTGCACCTGTTCCATGTTATTCCCTCCCTGTATCCTCCACTGGCTGGGGGCAGGCACTGGAAGGAAAAACCTGACCCCCAGTACTGCTGTTCCTGGTTGATGCAGGCATGAGGGACCCCAAGAGCTGCTCTTGCTTTGCTCCAGCTTTGAGCTTCAGGAAGCAGCTGAGCAGGATGCTGCACTCAGTTGGGGACAGCAGGAGCAGTGGGCAGGTTCATCCTTCCAGCACCTGCTCCTGGTCTGCAGGGGACACCGGGGGTGTGCCCACAAGAGGGGAGCAGCTGTTGGCAGCAGGAACCTGTGCACTACTGTCACTATCCCCAGCCAAGCCTGGCTCCCTGTGCAGCCATTTTCCAGCCATCTTCCACAGCCCGTCCCGAGGTGCCCGTGCAGTCACCGCCAGCACGGAACTGATGCTGGAGCTGTGGAGCCCAGTGCAGCTGTTTGCAGCCTGCTCCCTGCTTGCTTGCTGCAGCTGTCCAGAGCCTGGGCTGGCTACAAACAGCTGCACTGGGCTCTAGAAGCTTGCCATCACCTCTGTGCTGGGAGCAGGGGCGAAACCAGGGCTGCGCTGCCTCAGGCTCCTCCCTCACTGCCTGCTCTGACGCACGAGTGCACGCGCCAGTGCGGAGCTGATGCTGGAGCCCAGAGCCCGGTACAACTGTTTGGAGCCTCCCGGCTTCAGCCGGCCCCGGCTCTGGGGAGCTGCTGCCAGCTAGGAGCCCAGGCTGCTCCCAGCAGGCAGCTGGGATGCTGCAAGCCC